ATGCATTTCTAGAGATCTAAAAGTGCTCTGGATAGCCTTAAAAAGTGTTCTCAATGTATTTTGGAGGAAACCGTCGTTGGGTGCCCCTGTGTGAATGGCCGGCCTATAGTTTGCATTACTCAATTCGTCATCTTTTTTAAATAGTGGAGTATTCTGATCCATTTTCCATGAGGCTGGATGTTTTCCACGGGCTGCATATTTTTCATGAGGCTGTCATAATGAAAGTAGACGAATCTTTTCGTATGCAGACAAAGGGTCTATCATCTTGACACCCGACTGAACTAGTATCGCTTAAAATGTTGTATTCGTTCATTCCAGCACACAGATACCTGTGGGTAAGGTTTAAATTTCCCCCAAGTTATATAACTTCTTTCCTATTGATCACAGCTGCATTTTTTTATTTTTAAAAGGATCCTTATTGTCCGATGTTTTGACGATAAAGCCAGACCTGATAGAACAAATGGCGCTGTTCCTGGACAGGGAAATGAGGCTAATACCCAACTGGAAGCACTTTTCCAATGAGCTGAAAGTAGACGTAAATGTAATCAACCGCTTGGAGCAGTACGCTGACTTCAGTCCAACAATTCGACTTTTTGAATATCTAGAGACTGCACAACCAAACCTGAGCATTCAACAACTGAAACAGGCCTGTTTGGACATCAGGAGGAACGACTTGTTTAGTCTACTAACAACAACAGGTTTGCCTCTGTGTGATTTCAGCGTTGTTTTAACCCCCTGGACCGCCCGAAACCACCCGTTCGAATCCCCCGGGGGTGGGGGGGGGGGGGATACTCCGGATTTCAAGTGACAGGGACAAGGTTTGAAATTTTCGATTCCAGGTTTTTTTGGGTAGTAAAATTTGGCAAGTATTTTGTTGGGTGGCCTGATTTAAGCAGGAATTTTTTTGGCTATTCAGAACATGATAAAGTCTACGTATCCTGGCCGCGTAATATTGCCATTTAAGTACAACCAAATTTGTTTTCCTTTCTGGAGATTTTTAAGGCTCAGAAATTCGGCATGGGATTTTTTTGGGTTTTTATATTTAGCCCCATTCAATCATCCCTGTCACTTGAAATCCGAAGTTTCCCCACCCCCCTGGGACGAATTCTCGTCCCTTCTACCGATTGTGACGTCATCAGTTTAATGGTCAAGGATTGAAACCATGTCCAATATGAGCACGACTCGGTCAACGACACCGGAGAATGAGGCAAAAACTCGTGACCTGAAAATTTCTGTGAAAATCTTGTTCCACTACCCACCTACCTTCATTTCATTTAATCCTAAAGTCCTAACAGCTTTTCCTGCCAAAATAAAGCCTACCCAAATTCCAGCAATATAATAAAATTAGGCAACAAAAAGCGAAAAAAGTTGAGAGGAGAGAAAGCGAAAAGTAAAAGTCAAGACTGCTGTGAAAAATCTCGACATTTTGCTTTCTGCGCATGCCCGAACTTTGCAGGCTAATATTTTGCGTCTGGATCAGGGCCACCAAATGTGCGACCTGTAAACGGCTTTGTGGTAAGTTGTAGCTCGTTATAGCACGATAGTGACCAGAAAACCGCTCCACTAGCTTCAAAACGGGTTTTTCGGCAAAATTTCCAATGGGCGAATGGGTTAAACTGAACCCGTATATTATATGTCACATAGATGGTCATTTGTACTTAAACTGTATACTTGACTATTTGGTTTTCTGATTTATTAGCGGATCTTCCGAGGGTAGGCGAGCCTCCCTTACTACAGAAATTGGAAACGTATCGATGCAAGGGAATTTGGTTACAATGTCAGCGTACGCCCGCTCGCCCGCCCGTACAGACTCGGGAGGTAAAATAGGGGAGACTCAACGGGGAAAGAGCATTAATGTGTCAGACTAAAGGTGTCAAACTGAAGTTTTCTTGGTTTTGATATGCCACCATGAACCAATTTGTAAATTCTCATTGGCCAGCAACATTTGATGCTCGATTTCATTGGCTCTTTTACCACATAAGAGAGTTAACGTTTATTCTAACGAAGGACTCGTAGCTTAACATTTGCTAGCCTGAGTCTCCCTGCCTGAATGCCCTGCACAACACTTACCCGCGCAGTTTGCGTAGACTAATAAATTTTAGTATATATAGACTCAGTGATCTTGGTGATTCAAGCAATCTGATTGGTTCGCTATCTCGGACTATAACGTTATATTCACCGCGCTAGGCGGTGAATATAAAGCAAAACAAAATAGCTGTCCGGAACTGGGTGTTTTGCCAAATTTCAGAGTAAGAACTTTTTTAAAATACAAGAATATCCCAGAGCTGATTGTTTTGAAGTTAAGAAATGACTCCATACTGAAACAGCGTGATTTTATTGCGAAGTGATTGACTGTAGTTGACTTTCATACGCTCGAAGCAATGTTTTTATTGACCACTACGTACAGAGGAAAAGGAGGCCGCTTTGTCACTGTTTTGTGAACTCGAGATTTCCTCGCAAGACCAAGTTAATTTATGGAGAAAAAAAGGAAATATTTTCGAGAACTGTACCTGCCAGCAAGTTAACATGGCAAGGAACACTGCACTGCAGATAAACAACGCTCTCCTCGATCGTAGCCGCTGTTGACAGCATTTGCAAGAAGCGACAAAAAAACTGTCTCATTCACGGTGAGTTGACAGAAGCAAATAAAGCTCTGTGTTTCTTCTCAGAAAGGGGAGGTATTTAAACTTTCAACGTTTATTTTTTCAATCATTGATGCTAAAGCTTACAAAAAAATTAAAACTATGATTTGTCATGTTTGAAAATACAGCTGTAAAGATCCAAATGTTGTGCATCTGCTGTTTACGGCTACATGTTGACCCATGAATTCATCCGTGAATCAAACTAATCGTTTTCTTCATGGTTTCCTTTTTGGTTTTGTTGAGATCACTTCGTGTGTATATACTTAAACAATTATTCACCTCAGGCTCGGTTAATACTGTTGAATAATCCTCTCGACTTCGTCTCGGGGATTATTCAACAATATTAACTTCGCCTTCGGCGAATAACTGTTAAATATATTATCACAGACTGAGAGAAAGTGACGTTTAGACATACTCTTTACCTTGTTGTTATACAATTCAACAAATATAATTCTTGATTATCTAAAAAAACTAGAGGCAAGCGGAGCAAATAAAACCTTTACCGTACAGTGCGAAAAAGCGAAATCAATATAGTGTAATATGTAGTGTTTTCATTTTTCTCGTTTTCTATACTTTCCGTTCTCCTCACGCCTTGTTTTGCACCTGACGCACTTGGTGTACACTAGCGCTGGAGTCATTGACTTGATGTCACTTGAACGGTTTTTGTACCTACTATAAGGAAGGGTTTATTACAGCACACAGTTGACAATGAAGTGTCCGCATTGAAGGGATTGACTTTCTATCCGGAGAATTTGTTTATTGGGCGAGAAACAAGTGTCCGTCGTCCGCATTAATGGGTGTGAATTTAGAGAAAATATAAAGGCTTTCCCCGGGGACAGAGAAAGCTGTTCGTGTCCGTAAGAAGTGGGTGTCCGAAAGTGTGGTTCAACTGTAATTAACAAAATTTCAAATTTTATCCTTTCTCTGCAGCTGCCCTCGGCGACTCTGAGTTGGTTAGTGAGGCAATCACATCACGACATTCAGTAGCTCCTTCACCCAATGTCAGTCTTTTAGATGAAATAGCTTTGAAACTCGATGTACAGTCCATGACTTTAGCAAACTGGGGCAGCTTGGCGTTAAAGCTTGGAGTGCCAAGAAAAACTTTTAAACTGTTTGAAAGACGTTCAACGCAGAGCCCAACCAACCAATTGTTTGAGTATTTAGGAAGCACTTGTCCACATATGACTGTAAAGACTCTAGAGGAAGCAATGAAAAAAATGGAAAGGAAAGATTTGCTTGCAATTTTACACGAAAAGAGCCCTCAAGGTAAGTTAAACAGCTTTCTTAGAGGACAACAAATGACAACAATTTTCCACCATGTTAATATGTGACGCTATTCGGCAAAGAAAAAGAATGTTAATTACAGAAATGGTCCACGCGAATCGCTACTGACGTTATTACTCACATTTTGCTTCATCAGGAGCATACGATCTTCCATTATATTTAGAAAAGAAATGATACTGAATTTGTTGAGCTTCTTATATTCTGCAATCTGTGAATTTCTAAGCTCCTTAAAGTACAATGTAAGAAATTATCAACCACAACCGATTATAACTCGACTAAAAAATTTTCTCGGCAAGTGATTGTAAGTTCTAATTTCATTATTTCACGCCGGTCTTATCCAAGGACTCTTTGTTGCTGGATTCTGGATTCTTAGAATGGCCAGTGTGGATTATCTAATCGATCGTAAGCAGTCAGATTGAAATTAAGCACAATTCCTTGACATGAACTTAACTTGTTCTTCTTAGTGACTAGTCTTCATAGTGGGAATTCATTCCGGCATGCGTACGCTAAGTGTCTAAGTTGGGGCCCTGGCTGTTTATGATAATGATGAGTGAATCGATGTTTAGAAATGAAGTCGAGGCTCCACTAACGGCCAACTCTCCACAAAGGCCACCTGTCTACAACGGTCACTTTACTTTGTCCCGCCGGACAGTCCATACATTGACTCTTGTTAAAACCTCTCTACAACGGCAACGGCCACTAAGCTGCGGCCCTAACTGCCTAAATAACCTCTTGCCAACGGCCAGTTTTTTCAATGACTGACGAACAAGTCACGGACGGTCACGAAATTGCATCCGTATGGAGCTTATATGATCAATCGCGCAAGTCTTACCGGATAAAATGTAAATACCGTACTTTTTTGTAAGACATCTCGCTCAAACAGGCAACCCTTAACAACTTTATTTCACTTAAAAGGAAATAAAATATCTGCAATTCTAAACGCGAAATGATGCAGTAATAGACATTTGTCTTTGGAACATTACGTTTCTGCACGGGCGTTCTTAGACATTTTTTGTTTGTAAGCCTTGGTGGAGCATATTAGGGAGAGAGACAATATAGGCGCGTTAGCGCCCATTTAGGAGAGCCCAAGGCGCGACATGCTAGGGGAGTCCGGGAACATGCCCTCCTGGAAAATTGTGAAAATTCAGGTACTCTGAGAAGTAATCTGGTGCAATCTGGGCGCTTAAATTAATTGGCAAATGCCAGGATTCCATATTGAACAAGAAATAATTGAATATTTAGCAAAATGCAGCCAGCTGTGGTTGTTCTCAACAACAGCAACAACGTAATGACCTGACTACCGACGCATTAAGTGCAAAGATAACTGAAATCTTGGTGGAACTCAAAGAAATTCGAAAGCAAGACGTCTGTTCTTTTTTGCGCAAAATTCGAGAGTCAAGGTTTCTACATCAATGGCTATGTCTCTGTAAGCATGCATCAGGGCAAGTGCTGCGAGTCGCTCTGTTTTCATCGTGGAACGTAAGTACGTCTTCACTCTGTGCATCGTGCTAAAAAATCGTTCGGGGGTAGCAGTTGACACTGGCATTGTCAGGAGGATGGTAATAATTGTGACCTCGGATAAAGGTCCTTATTAGCGTGTTGGAGTGTCTCTGTGAGTGTCACTGGTTTTTCATCAGTTGAATGAGACCACTTTGTTTGCCACTTTCATTGCCAAAGTCTCTATTCTCTGAAAGATCAGTTTTGTAGGTTTCATAAAGCTTATCTTGTACTCCGCTTTTGAAAGCATTCAGTTTTGCTAGAACAAAATATTGATGAGGATACCTATTTGCCGAGTTGGGATTCGAGTAAGAGTATAAGTAGTAGGGTAGGGACCGGTTAGTCCGTTTTTTTTGTGGATTTAATTTACTTTTTGAGTGGCATAAAGTAACGTTTATGACGTCATACATGTCATTAAGATAGTATGATGTCATAGTTTATTTTCAGTTGGCAAGAAGCAAGTGACGTCAGAATACCCTAGGGTTGACGTCATCAAAAAATGTTGAGATCATAATCTATAAATAGAAAAGTGATACATTCCTACTTGGTCATGATGATGTCATAGTTTATTCAAATTATGTGTGTCATATCCTTATTTGGATATCATAATGGCCAATCCTACTATAGACACTTCTACGTCCGGCGGCTCATGGTGGATCGTGTGGATCCACCGATGGGGTGACGTCATAGATAATAATAGGTCAATAGAGCCTGGGTTATGACGTCAGAGACGCAAAGGATGGGTTGTGTTCGAATATAAACAAAACCCAGGCACAAAATGTAGCTTAAACTTTTTATTTCAATCATGATTGGCCATTAACAAAACGGTTTTGGAGAGTATTGTGAGCATCTGACTCATTCGCTTTCTCGTGCACTAAGAGTGTTCTCGATATATAATCCGTCCGTGCCAACACAATTTCCCTATAGAGATCCCTATATAGCCTAACTGAGCCAACTGTTCTACTTACTTTGTTTCTTGCGGTTTGGGTTGTTCTTTGTAGTTTTTCTTTTAGCTTTTGCTTCAAAAGGCGCTTCATTTCTTTGTGATCTTGACAGTTCGTACACCGTTTCTTGTGTCTGTACTGGATTGCAAGCCAGAGTAGTATGATTTTTTCTTGAATTATCTGCTGCACTTTCGTAAACGACGACTTTAACTTTAGGTTGCAGTTTCGCCCCTTGTAAATACTATCTTCGCTGTATGTAGTGTTACAAATTAAATCCGCGTTGCCGATAGCAATGCGTCCCCTAAATTCCCTAAGGGTATTTTGCATTCTAGCGCAATGTTTAAAAATTCAGTTTGAGCTAGCAGTGGTCATGAACAGAAGAATTCAGATTTAGAAACGAAGATCCGGAGATTCACGCTAGTGTAAGTAGTTTTTTCTAAGAGTTTTTTCATTCTTTGAGCGAATATCTTATCAGGATATTTGGGTTTTTCCTTTTTCAGCGAATCATTCTGTCACACTATTAATCCTCGAAATGTAGAAGTGAAAGAGGCGAGCCGATTTCAACGCGTGAATACTAATTAACTTGAACTGTAGAATACTGAGACACTGAGAATTAAATAATGAATCTTGAAGAACAGCGAAAAGACGACAACATGTAGTCTAACTGATCAACACCCGCGAGATGATTAGCTAATCTGACAAGGTACTTCGCCCCGCAACCTGGTTTTATGGCTGAACACAAATGACATCTATTTCGCAAATAGTCAGGTTATATAATGGGTCAGAAATGCCAAAGTCAGGCCAAGAAAGCCTAAATCGGGCCAAAATAGCCAAAACCATGCCTAAAATGAAGAAAAGTACCCTCGGCCATATTCTGCTGACCGTTTTGTCCGTTCTATCCCAAGGAAGTGACTAACTACTGAAGTCTTGTTTCATACTCCGTTAAAGTCAGTTAATTATGCGAGTAAAGGAGGCTGTGCTGACATTTTGCATACAAATTGGCCCTACAGTGAAACCCAAGGGACAGCCTTGACTTATTATTATAAAAACACAAAAACAGTAAAAAATAGGAAGGATCAATTGAAACACGCGACTAATAAATGCTGGCAATAGAACCAGAGAGGTTTCTTAAGACGCAAGCAATCAAGCTAATGGCTCTTTAACAATTCCAAAAAGGGCAAATCCTAACTAGAATCCAACTCGAAAATGCAACTGAAATCCCCACTCGAAATCCTAACTTGGAAGTTAGTATATATCATTTATGATTAGATTACATTTTAGGCTACAGTAAGCACAAACTTGGCACAATAATCATGTTGTACTCTCTCCCTCTCCCCGCTTCCCCCAACCCCCACTTTCAAAAAAAGCAGTTGTAATATATCCCCAAGGTGGCCGTTTTGGAGAGGTTCAACTGTAGTTATTAACAACTCTATAATTGTATTTGCTTTATCGAGGTGAAATATTCATAAAGGATGTCATGCCCCCTGGGTCAGATCTTCTACAAATGGTTGCAAATAAACTCGACACCGAAAAGGTCCCTTGGGAAAAAAATTGGCTTCAACTGGCCTATTATCTGCAAATCCCTTCACACGTGTACCAAGGATTTGAAACAAGAGAGCAGCGGAAAAGTCCTACAATGGAAGTAATTCGCTGGCTGGTGGTACATTCTTCTGGTATAACGTTAATTGATATTGTTAAGGCCTTGGAAAAAATCCAACGTAACGATGTCATTCAAATCATAACGCAGCATTTTCCAGGCACAGTCAGTAAGTACTTAATTGAACAATCTTGCATACTTTTTAGGGTCATGTCCGGAAATGTACGCTGATAGATTCACACTCTTTTTGATAGTGTCCCCTTGCCCAAATCCTCCATTAAACTCAAACAATTCTGTCACTAAACATAGAGCCATGTGGAAAGTACAAATAATTGTCTTTGTAGGATGTAGCCAGGGTCCGCGTTGTGTGCATTTCTGCACATAAATGTAATGACCGTGAATTTACTTTCCACTGGCAGCTTCCATTCAGCCTTATTAGGAGCGTTTATGCCTAATTACTGAATAAAATCGAAACGAAGGCTTTAGTGTTGGGGGCTTCTCTAATTTATAAATTATGAGTGGAATCTTCTATTTTAAAATGTCATACAGTCAACCCTAAGACGGACACCTTTGGGACCGGTGCCGAGTGTTCGTCTTAGGGAGATGCCCGTCTTACAGAGGGTCAAATAAAGGGAGTAAGAAAGGCAGGGACCAACTTTAGGTCTCAGTCCGTTTTACAGAGGTGTCTGTTAAGAGAGAGTCGACTGTATTTGATACACAGCTGAATGACTCGAGCAAATTTTCCTGTTAACGTAAAGACATAGGATATACCTGTTGTGGTTTAGTTTCATCCTCCAAAATTAAACCAAGGATAAAATTGAACCAAAAGTGCCCTATCAACTATCAACTATGTTTGAGAAACGGACTTGTTTTCAGATACCCTGTGGGCTGAGGCCCTTAAATCCTCCTAGATAAGTAAACTTTCTGCTTTCTCAGTAGTTGGGTTTATATTCCGTGTTATTTCACAATATTGGTTAAAATGCAAAACTTGGAATTCAGTCATCGGCTGTGGTGAAGTAAAAGCAGGTAAGTGCTGATTACTTGGCAGAGGGTAAATTGACGAACGCCTTGAAATTAAGTAAATTACTGACTAAAACATCCTTCCACGATCTACAGATTCTTTCCTAGAGCAACCTAGTTATCCTATGAGCGATAACGTGAGCTTCGACCAGCCAAGTGCCACACTGAGTTCTAGAAGTTCTAGAAGGGACCACGAATTCGCCTGCAGTGCTTTTCCTAAGCGAGGTAAGAGGTTTTCAGCAAACGTCGCATTCAAAGTTTAAAAAGAGATTATTCTAGAGCTACGAACGAAGTTTGCATTGGTGTATCGACGTGGTGAACCCACGCAGATGCTAGGAGAGTACGTGAAAAGCATGAAAATCCTTTTCTGTCATTCTTTGCTCCTGCTTTAACCACATTATCGTTCTGGACTTCTGTTAGTCTGGAATTCGATCACCCTAAGACGTGCTCCTGGAACATTTGAGGCATTGTGTTCCTAATTGATGTCAACTTAGGTTGATGTCATTGTTTCTGTTACATTTTTCAGAGGACTGTAAACAGCCAGGTCATTGTGGGAGTTTGCCAGATCCCCCATATGATCTTAAAGGCCGAGAAGTTAACTGTGAGAAGATTATAAAAAGTGTGTTGTCAAACAAGGCTGTTGAGGTTGTAGCACCTCCCGGATATGGGAAAACCTCGGTCGTGGTGGAAACTGCTCATAGACTGATTGAATACCATGGGAAATACGTTGCGTACGTGAATCCTCGAGGAGTGACCTGCGTGGAAGATTTGGGTGTAACAATTATCGAAGCCCTGGGTGAAGTGCCCGTTGATAGCACTATCCGGGAAACCTTGCATCGTATAAGATCTCTTAGGGCCAAAAACGTGGTATTGATTATCGAAAACATTGACGACTTGTTACATTTGGAGAAAAACCTGGAACGTGAATCAGATCCACATGGTGTGGAATACTGCTCTAGGATGCGTGGAAAGAACACGAAAGAGGACTTTTTAAATTTCATTTCAGAGATAGGAAAAACTAGAGAAATTTGTCTTGTCCTTACATCGACAGAAATCAATGATTTCAGCGTATGTTTTCCCATTGATATAATCGAATTACAGCCTTTAAGCGAAACGGAATCGTCCGAACTGTTTAAGGAGCGCGACATGAGTTTAGACGAGGACACCATTAAGAAACTAGTTGATATCTGTGGTGGTATTCCCTTGATCATTTGCACAGTATTATCGATTCTTAGGATAAGGAATCCTCATAATTTAGCTCGCAGGCTCTCTACCTGCGCACCTCACGAACTCCTGCAAGAACTCAGCCCAGATTATTTGCAGCGTGAAAATCGCATTGATTTATGTCTTGAAGTTTGCTTTCGTCGTCTGAGCGAAGAAAATCAAGAGGTTTTGACGAAGCTCTCTACCTTTCCGCACAGGTTCACTCAGGAACAGTTTTATGCAGTGTTCAGTCAGTCAAAAACTGACCGTGAAAAAATGGAGATGTGTTTGAATTCCCTCAAGCACACCAGTCTTTTGCGTTTTGAACGGGAAAGTTGTTACTTTTGCATCCACCCATTTATACGGAAATTTTGTTCAGTGCACAATCAGTCGACACACAAGCAAGCGAAGTTGACTTTTATTCGTCATTATAGTAATGTCGTTATTGCCTTGAGTAAGAAATTCCTCAGTCGAGAGTCGAAGTGCGCCATAGACGAATACAGAAGTGAAAGAGATAACATCAAAGAGGCCACAGCTTGGTGCGAGGCTGAACACCCTGACCTGCCTTCAAAAGAAACAGAGTACTGTATCGATGCTTTTATCAAAGCAGCCGTGTTTCTCGCCAAAGTGATGAGAAAGCAAGAATTCGAGTCCCTTTTCTGTAAGCTTTCTCACCATTACCGCTATGATTCTAAACGGCATAGTGCTTGCTTGACAGCTGTTGGAACGAAGATAGTTCTAAGCTGTACTTGCACACCACGCATCTGCTATAGAGCATGTTACCGAGCAAAAATGGTTCTCTCTAGAGCCAATGAAATTCAATTAGTAGAGACAGTAGATGATGCGACTCGTGCTCAGTGCTTAAGCAAGCTTGGATTTATTCTTGTCCGAGAGGGGTTGAATACCAAAGGCTTTGAATATCTAAACCAGGCTCTAACACTGCGTCACAAGCGCTGGGAGCAGTCAGAGGAAGACATGGATAAAGTCATGATTGGTGCTTGTCAGAATGATATAGCAGGTTTAGTACAAGCTCACTTTCTTATTTAAAGAAGAGTTGACCCAATAATGGTAATAACGACTCCGTCACTCAACAAATTGGCCTTCTTCCAATGTATAGCTCAGTTGGTAGAGCACTGCTGTATGGTGGCCCACTAACGTCATAGCAATTTTGCACTTTTTTTGGTGAAATTAAAAAAAAAAAGATAACAATAATCAAAAGAAAACCAATTTAAAAGAAAAAATAAAGGAAAATGGAATGGAAAGTGTCAAAATTTCAACGAAAAAGTGCAAAATTGCTATGGCGTTAGCGGGCCACCATACTGCTGCGCTAAGGCAGAGGCCATGGGTTCGAATCCCGTTGAACTATCGAAATTTTTTCCCGGTTGATTTGCAATTGCTTAAATTAAATTGCAATTACGACTGCGACGATCATATCTCAGCGACGGATCCAGACCTTCAGATACGTGGGGGGGCGGTCTCCAAAAAAAAAAGGTTTTTCGGCCCTTCGGGCTTCACTTTGGTCTAAAAATAAGGGGAGGCCCGGGCTCCCCGGGGCCCCTCCCGTAGATCCGCCACTGCATCTTCATTTCAATATTTTCCTTGTGTTAGTTTATGTAACTGTTTAGTCACATTCCTACCCCCCGAACAACGTCCCATGTGCCACCATATGAAACGGCGTCATCAATTTGAAAGACTTAGGAAACTTTAACACCTAACTTGTATGGGTGACAAAGACCTTTCACGATCAAGCCACTATGAGCGGCAATCAGTCGAACAGGGCAGAGAAAAAAATTCAACAAATCATGTAACTTCCACTACAAAATGTGCATAAAATTTGGTTCCACTAACCAACTGTACCTCTTTGAAAATTTAACTGTGCCCCTCGGTGGTTTTGCAAAAACCTTTACCACCCCCTAGAAAACGCCAAGCGAAAAAAGCAAGAAGGACCTGGCAGAAGGCTAATTATTTTCCCTTATCCGCTGGAATACCCAAACTTTATTGTAATTTGGTTTCAGGAACAAAAGCTATCCAATCTCTCGACTTTTTGATAAAACGTCTCGACTTTGACGTTGTTTTGGCCAGATGGCGACCAAGAAACGGCTAAACTACCATAAAAAGGCGCTTTTTCGGCAAAATCTCAAGGGGTTCCTTTGCTCTCGTACCCAAAAATCGGGAAATTAATTTGAAGTACGACTGGGGTATTAATAAAAGATTTTTCTTGTACGTTGTTTTTACGTTTTCCTCTGGCTTCTTTGACTAAATCAGTGCTCATTCGGGTTTACAGCCTAAAAAATTAATTAATTAATTAAGTAAATCAGCCTTGGATTTATTATTTATCTCTATTACTCTAAAACCGAAAGACGTAATCTTAAAGCATATAGTACGTTTAATCGAAACTTTACGTAGTAAATTTACTTTCCTTCTTTCGTATAGCTTCCCTTATGATACAACGAAAGCATTTGGCAGCTATTGAAACCAGACGAAATGTTGTTTTACCACTATATGAGTCTATCCTTGGCAAAGATCACCCCTTTGTGGCAACAACCTTCAGTTGGATTGGCAAAAGTTACCACGAACTGGGCGAGTATGACAACGCCATTAAATATGCCACACTGGCGCTGAATATCCGGCAAACTCTGTTAGGACGCCACCAGGAGACTGCGAGATCGCACTATGACTTGGGTGTGGCTCTTTCTGCGAAAAAGGACAGCGAACGGTACGCATGCTACGAAAAATACCTTCAGTAGGATGTGTTAAACAATTAGTACGCAGAAGGGGGTACTCCGGATTTGACGGGGATGATCGAATGGGGGTAAAAATCAAAAGCCAACAAAGTACCTAGGGTTTCCAACAAGACCGAAAAAGTCCCTGGACTAAAAAGTACCCCCCGCCCACGAAGAAAGTATCCCATGTTGAATTTTCAAGACTCAAGACACCCAAGAACATTTTCTGTTTCATCAAAAACATTCATGATGCAGAGTGACATCATTCCGGAATCAAGAATTTCAAACCCAAAAAAATCCTTCCACCATCCCCGTCACTTGAAATCCGGAGTACCCACTTGAGTAAAAAAGGTTGTCATGTGAAAGTGTAAAAGCATACGCCATTATTCTGAAACGAAGTACTACACTATATTCCACAGCGCCAGCTTTGTTGTTTTCCAAAGACAATCTTCAAGGAAATCACCTGTAAGCGACCCGGGTGTCTTCATAAAGGCTTCTGTATCACATCAGTTTAAGACAAAGGACTGATTTAGGATCTAAAGAGTAGTATAGTAGGGATTAAATTATCCGTTTTTGCGTAGGAATCTTATTACTTTTCGCAGGAATACATCAACACCGATGACGGCATAGCCTTTTGTCTTTATTTGACTTGATCTCACGAATAACATGCGGTGGATTCTCGTCATTTTCACTTTTGCGTATTCCTAATACGCCTGGGCTTGCCCGAACCGAAATTAGTATAAATAGATTTATGGAAGGAATAAGCGCTAACTCGCCTATGACTTTAAATCACTGAGTCGTAACGTAATTATGCTGCTGCTTTATTGTCCAAAAATGGTTAAAGTTCCTATTTACTGATGCTTGGCGCTCATATCCTGCATTTTTAATTGAGGACGAAGTCAAGCTAGCTTTTTCTACCACCACCAAAGACAAATTTCTTTCATTCCCTTCTTCTTTTTTTTGTTTCTTTACATTTCAATCGTTTTTCTTCCTTCACCACCACCACATATTTATTGTTTTTCCTCCTCTTCCACCTACACATTATGGACTCCACATCGACCCTCTATCGCACCGCATTTTATTCATGAGTCAAAGACAAAACATTATGACGTTATCGGTGTTAATGTATTCCTGCGCAGGTTAATGAGATTCTAGCGCAAAAACGGATTATTTTATCCCTACCATACGCTTAAGGATCGCCATCTGAGAGAGGAGAGTTGATTTCTACAATCTCGATATGGGGTGGACAGTTAAGGGGTGGTCGTTTATTACCTGTGACCGGGGGCACGGCTATTCGAGAAAGCCTGAAGATTTTGAAACCGACACCCAAATTCATCCTAGCTTTTTAGAAATGACCCCCCCATAGAATTCAGCTTTTGTGAAAGTTCCCTCCATCCGATTGTTGTGGAAATAGCCTGTGTACAGACTCCCGCAAAATAAATATTACGCTCTTCGTTCTTGACAGTTGCAACCTTTATGTAATGGAGGGCAATGAAAACGAGGTTGTAAAATGTAATTCATAGCAACTAAATTCCACTTCCCCGGCTTGTCTTCTGCAAATGTCCAAATGAAAGAGGTGCGCGTTATAAGGCCTTTGATTTCAGTACTGCTCATGTCTGATTCCGTGACCAACTTTCAGGGCTCTCAAACACCTTCAACACGCGATTGAATTACAAGAAGAAGTGTTGGACACCCACGAAGAACTAGTACTTAGTCACCAAGAGACAGCCGTTGTCCTGAATGATCTGGGGAACAAAGAGGAGGCGGAGAGGGAAATGGAACGAGCTGGCGAGTGTGCCAAAAGGCGGGATGTATTAGAAGTACAGCTGCAGACTTTAAACATCCATGAAGAAGACGGATGGCAGAAGACTGATCCCGTGCCTATTGGTAGCACGTGAAGAGAAATGTAAATGAAAACATTCTTAGAAAAAATCTTAAGGCCTGTTTACGTGGAGGTGAGGGACACCTGGTAGGTGAGGTAAAAAAATAACTCCTTTACATGCAATCTTACAACCCCGCCATCCCGGGGTACACTTTCTCAAGATCAATGAATGGTCGCTAAGCACGTAAACAAGGAAAATGAGGGCAAACCACATGTTTTGGCGATTAATGCTCTTCCACAGTTACTTGCTGCTCTTGCTGCAACCTGTGGCTTTATATTGCTACCTTTAATAATGACGCAAAGCCATTACCAAAGTGAATTCTGGGCGAATTTGATGTATCACGACTACCTCGGCTAGGCGGGTTACCCCACCGTGAAACGTTTACATGGCAAAATTTGACCCCAGTTGAGAGGGTTACGTGACTGGGCTACCCACCTTGGCAAGTCACCCCTAACACGTAAACGTTATCAAATTAAAACGACAGATTATATGGACAGGCGGGTTACGCCACCTAAGTGGGTTACCTCACCTACCTGGGCTCCCCTACCTCTATGTAAACAGGCCCTTACTGGTATTTAAGAGAAAGTGTTATAGATAGCACGTGAAGAGAAATATGACGAGCATCATATTGGTGCACATGTAGAGAAATATTAAGAACATTCTAAGAGAAACTTTTTTGTCTATCAGTGGTACCATAAATTAAGCCCTTCTTGTTGATTATTTCAGTCCATTATATTCCATTTATTCCTACACGCCAATCACAGAATGATGAACTGTTTGTTAAATTGGTTTACACCACTCAATGCAGCATTCGTTCTTACCGTTGCAATGGTACCAAACTTTGGAATTCATTATATGTATCAACTGATGTCAAGGGAATCAAGCCTGTTTCTAGATTTCGTCAAAATATCAACAATTCTATGCTTGACGATTATAATGCAATTGTTAATTCCTGAAGTTTTAATGATTATTTTATCTTATATTCTACTCTTTAGTTTGTGAAGTAATACTTTTTATGTAAAACAGCTATTTTGTCACTATATTAATCCTTCTGCTCGTATTCTTGTTTCGGGTAACCCGCTCTGTTAGTTCTATGAACTATTTAGGTGTCCCAAACTCTACACAATCAACTGAAAACTGTAATAATTTTCTTTCCTTTTCACATTTGTTGTTCCTAAATTTAAAAGCATTGAATTTTAAATATGAAAACATTCTAAACGAAAACATAATTCCATAAAGTTTCGCTTGTAAAGCGACAAATATTCTTAAAGCCAAGGAAAGAAAAGCTTCGCTAGTTACGAAGAGAGAAACAGAATTAAACGCTTTTTTCTTTATCACTGTCACTGTTATTAGCTTGTTTTCCCCATAGGCTTATACTTTAAAATTACTTAGTGCTGCTTGGCATAGAACTTGGGCCACACTTGTTTCAACCTTATTTCAAACTTCATCTGCGTTCAGTCGAAGGAAGCCTTGCTTTATATTATATTTTCAATGCGCATTAAAAAACTTTGATTTGCACGACTGTTCACTTCTTCGTGACAATACGTATCACTTGTATCACTTTTTCCTAGGTCAGTATCTCATGGTAACACTCCATAATATGTCCTGAATGTTCCAAAGCTCTGAAGAGAATTTTTTCTAATCCATCTTCTTACCTGTGTTCGCCTTTTGATATTCTTCTACTCCAATTTACCCTGCACTTCCATTTTGGAACTCCCGTTTTCTTGTTTCCTTCTCCTTTGTCTTCGTTTTGATTTATTGTTTGATACTGTGTCCATTTTCTCATCCACGGCACTTAACTGCGATATTGTCTGTTTTCCTTCATCGCCGGCCCGTAAGTCCTTGTTTGATTTTAGCAGTGTAAGTTTGTTGATAGGAGGGACCCCTGCTAAATAGACATCCGGTACGGGCACCCCTAGTATCTCAGGCAGCATGTAAGGCTGTAGCCAACCAACCAGCGGTGTTCGTCCACAGATGTAATGTGTTCTCTTGTGAAAGAAGAGCACGCCATCCACCTTGAAAATTATCAAAATGAACTTTGTTGACATAATGTTACATGTGAATTAAGTGAGTGTTTAATACCACTGCATGATTGACAAGAGCCGCGAAAACGTCACTTAAAAAGTGAATTCGCGCTGCCTCGAACTTTCAAGGGCTTATTCCATCTCGTTCAATTTGCAATTTGCAATGTTGGCAAATTGTTCTGGAGTTGAATTCTAAAGGACTGTGTCAAAGTACAGGAAAAGAAAAAGAAAGTCTTTGTCTTCTATTCACGTCCTCTTCAAGAAGTGAAGTTAGGTATTTTCGCGTCGTAGTCGTGCAGTGACAGCAAGAAATATATAAAAAAGCGTGATGCACGTACAAAGTTGTTGATTTGCTAATCCAAACCTATTGCTTTTGTGCCATTCTCGTTGTCCTCGCCGTCGTCGTTGTTTAAGCTCCCGAATTATTGAATGAGAGTGAGTAGAATAGGAAGAATGTATGCAGATCGAGGAAAGTGTTATCCGCTAAGGTGGGTAACAGCCTCCGAGATTTGCATACCGGTAATTCTTGAAATCACACCAAACACGAATTTAGTAATACAGATTATTATTCATTCAAAATAGTTCTCCGTTTCTGATTGGTTAAAACCACAGGCATAATTCACCTTATCATTCATTCAAAATATTTCCCCGATTCTGATTGGCTAAAAGCACACGTTCAATTCACCATAACCAGTTACTGATGACCAAATTTGGAAGAATTTTGTGTTTAACGAGGAAATGACGTCAAAAATGCAGCCTTCTACAGGTTAATGAACCATTAACCGAGAGGACCTGGGGACGAGGTTGAGTTGTTTTGGTTGTGAAAACAAAAATGGCCGACACCTCTCGTTTCAAGAGTAAGACGATCTCCATAATTCTTCATAAGATACTCAGCCTTATTCTTTAACTGTTAAATAACCAGCTACTGTTGACCAAATGTGGCAAGAACTTTGTCATTTTGGAACCGATGACGTCAAATGACGTCAAAAGTGCAGCCTGGTTGCAGGTTATTGAACCGTTAACCGAGAAAACTTGGGGATGAGGTTCAGTTGATTTAGTAGTGACAACAAAAATGGCTGAACAGTCGGCGGAACATTTTACTCGTTTCACGGCGAAATGTTGTCTAAAATCATAGCAAGAACAGCACGAAGACGGACAAGGCAACATGGTAACACAGTAATGAGAGTAAGTTACAAAACAAAGTAATAAGACTAATAAGAGTAAGGTCTAAAAAGGCGGAAACAGTAAACAATCAACAATGAGACAACGGATTCAAGTGGAATAGGTTAAGTCGGTACAATACATGTCCCCATACGTGACCACGACATCTGTTATTTGGAGCCTATTTGCAGACCTGAACAGACCTTTATCTCCTAAACCGATCGATAAAGATGCATTACTGATATGAACTTACATCGACCAAGGTTAGCATGTTTTAGCTTGTTTTTAAACTTGGAATTATTTTGAAGGAATAATAAAGCAATTATTATTACATGAGCGCACAGAGATATGAAATTTATCTTCGAGTGTTCAACTCGATATCTCACGAGCGAGTTGTGAGACTGTACTCCTGAAGCAATAGATGACAAACCATTGAGCAACGTTTCGCGTATTTTTGCATTTGTTTCGCTCAGTTTTAGCTAGTAATTCGGTAAATTCACCTTCGGATGGCCGTGAACTCTTCCGCTATTTTCTCGAGTTCACTCAGGCCAAACGGCCATTCTTCAGTGCCGCTGCTTGGAGAGAGATTGCGCTTCGGCCTCATGGGCTATTGACTCATAGCCCATTCGGGCTCGAGGAACAATTGTTAATTAGTAAAATCCAACTAGTTGGTCAAAAATATCGAGACAACAAAACTCAAAGCAAGACTTTAAAGGGGCTGTGTCACAGTGGCAGTCCAGTTCGTTTAATTTTGCCAATTACTCGCCCTCAATCGGTATGGAACTTAAAGTAAGCAAGGAAATGACAAGGAAATGACAAAATCAGTGATTCGAAGCAAACAAATATGTCTCCTGAGCATTATTTTTGAAGTTGCAAACAGTAGAGATCAACTTTGAAAAACTGTTAGGCTGAACAGTTTTCAAAAACCCTAATTTCAATCCGTTTCAATCTTCTTCAGTTTTGCCCATCCGTGGCATCTGTTGTGTTATTTTAACCTTCCTTTAATGTTTTAAGCGGTTATTTTTACGTTTCTCTCAATTTAACGGGCATTTTGTAATTACCTAACTTGGCTGAATTTCGTGACACAGCTCCTTTAATCCTTTTTTGCCGCCAAAAATCCGGCGCTTTTCGCTACTAGCTCAACCAATCAGAACGCAGCATTGATAATAGACCACTAGTTGGATTTTACTAATAGCTACCAGCTACCAGTCGAGCGCTAGTTTTAATACCGTTTTCGGCAAATCTAACTTTAAAATCACTTTAATATTTAGTGAGATGACCCTTTATTTTAATTACATTGTCTAGGCGGTCAGGCATGGACTAGTAAAGGTTTCTTATATAATCCAATTCGATGTTCCGCCACACGCTCTGGATTTCACGCAGAAGATCATTTTTGGTAGCGATATCTACTGCGGACTCTTGTAGCTCTCACTTCATGTAGAGCCAGATATTTTCCATTATATTTAACTCTGGTGATTGTGCTGACCATTCCATTGAGTTTACTACGTTTAGATCTTTATAATTTTCTACAGTGTGAGTTCTGTGAACAGGCGCATTTTCATCCATGAACAAGTATTCTTTTCCTTCAGTCAAGAACGTACATGTATGGCCAGTAGTTGTCTGGTACTTGGCAGAGTTGATGTTGCCTTCAACTGCAGTCAGAGTTCCAACACCATCACAACAAATACATCTCCAGATCATCAAACTTATCTTCCGTTCAGAGCGAGAACAAATACGATGTAGGTTGTACTTTTCATCGTTTTTTCGCCAAATGTAAACACGGTTGTTTGTACCGAGCACAATCTAACTTTCATCTGAAAATATTACTTTTTTTCGGTAGTCGTCTACTGTTCGACCTCTTCGCCCTTTAAACCACTTGATTCGCTTTTTTCGATTCACTTCCCGAAACACCATTTTCTTTTTCGCTAACCTTCTTTTTTATCCTTCCGGATGCAACACCACTTGCACGGATTTCTGGCTGAAAGTATTTGTTTTGCACAACCGTTTAGCTCGGCAGTAATG